ATAGATAGATAGATAGATAGATAGATAGATAGATAGATAGATAGATAGATAGATAGATAGATAAACGTTTCTCCTTAATTCCAGGTTGCTTCTCTCTTTGATTAGTTTCCAACCATTGTTTCTTGTCCTGCTCTCTGGTGCTTTGGAGAATAATTTGATCCCCTCTTCTTTGTGGAAGACCCTCAAATCCTGCTATTATGTCACCCCAATTTCTTCTTTTCTTTAGACTAGCCAAACCCAAATCCTGCAATCGTTCTTCATGAGTTTTAGTCTCCAGGTCTTTGATCATCTTTGTTGCCTCTTCTCTGAACCTTTTCCAAAGTCTCAACATTTTATTTTATTTTTTAATTTGGTGACCATTTGTGGATGCTCCAACACTGGAAATTTTAAAGCAGAGATTAGACAACCATTTGTCTGATATGGGAGAGGGTCTTCTGCTTGAGCAGGGGGTTGGACTAGAAGACCTCTAAGGTCCCTTCCAGCTCGATTCTGATTGATTGAAAGTTGGCAAGGTTGAGAAACGCTGACTTAGGAAACAGGTTATCACTGGAATCCTTTTAATGTTCTGTTGTGTTTCTTCCCTTCAGATGACGTGGATGGCAGCTGTGATGTGCTGAAGTCACACGAAATTGCAGGAGGCAAAACAGTAGCGCTGCTGAACAACACAGTGCTTCAGTATATATGCCCAGAGGGCCAATACCCATACCCTACCGAGTACCGGACATGCGAATCAGGAAGATACTGGAGCACTATGAAAAATATAAATAATATAAACGTCTCCCGGGCCAGGTGCAAAGGTATAATTTAATTTCTAAATTTAGAAAAGACAGTCTGCCTTTCAGCTGGCCATGAAAGCAGTGACACACTGAGGGGGTGTCCTGTTTTGGAGCTCATAAGTTTTAGGGCCCCTTTTGATTTTATGGGGAGACCCATGGCTTTGTTGCAGAGTTGGTATTCAGCAGGTTCTGATCAGTTCTGGAGAACCGGTAGCGGAAATTTCGAGTAGTTCAGAGAACCGGCAAATCCCACCTCTGACTGGCCCCACCCCCATCTATTCTCCGCCTCCCGAGTCCCAGCTGATCGGCTGGGTCATCTTTGGTTGCCCTGCACAAGAGAACGGAGCTGGAAAGCAGGTTAGTGAGGTGGGGAGGGAATGGAGGTTTTGTAATAACCTTCCCCCAGGAGTGGGGTGGGAATGGAGATTTTACAGTATCCTTCCCCTGCCACATCCACCAAGCCACACCCACAGAACCAGTAGTAAAAAAAAATTGAATCCCACCAATGCTTTGTTGGCATCCAAATGTGCAATGTTGGACCTGAAACCTCCCTGCATATCTTCAGCTACTAGAGATGTTGAGCATTTACTCCAAAGATCAGACCTAATGATTTTACTATCAAAAAATGGTAACTTCTTGTTTAGAAGACATTCTTCCTCACTGAACTGTGTTCGGTATCAAGGAAAATACTAGACATATATATTGGACGGTCCTGATTGCCAACCCTATTCTACCTCCACAATGAAGTCGGAACATGTGTGGTCCTTTGAAAAATATCATCAGTGACTCTCTTTAACCATGGGATTGGGATAATATAAGTGGCTGCTTGGTGGTGCATCAAGATGCCTCTGGTGACATTTACAGCCAGAGAGATGCTCTTCATTTGCTATCTGTCAGGCTATTTCTGAACACAGCTTAGAGCGAACACCACTTTGAGGAAAAGATCGGTGCCCCAGCATTGAAATAAGTGTTGGTATGTTTCTGTGGAGATTCTCAGTCATCCAGGCAGTGGTGGGACTCTATTTTTGTACTGCTGATTCTGTGGGCATGGCTTGGTGGGCGTGACAGAGGAAGGATACTGTAAAATCTGCAGTCAGAGGTGATATTTGCCGCTTCTCCGAACTACTCAAAATTTCTGCTACCTCCGCATCCAGGTCACGGTTGTCCCAAAGGTGGGTTTTTTTCAAGAGGCAACTGGACTTTCTGGTTTTTCTTTGAAGATGTTTTGCTTCTTGTCTGAGAAGCTTCTTCAGTTCTGACTGTATGGCAGGGAAGGAGTATAAATCCTTCCCTTCCCACCATTCAGTCAGAGCTGAAGAAGCTTCTCTTGGGTGAGAAGCGAAATGTCTTCAAAGAAAAAAACAGAAAGTTCAGTTGCCTCTTGAAAAAGGCAACCTTTCGTAGTAGCGTGTTTTCTCCCAAAGTTGCTATTCCAAAAGGCGACTAGACTTTCTTGTGTTTTTTTTTCCCCTTGAAAATGTTTCGCTTCTCATCCAAGAAGCTTCTTCAGTTCTTGGATGAGAAGTGAAACATTTTCAAGGAAAAAAATAAAATCAGAAAAAGCACGTTTGAGACAACCATGTCCTGGATGATTGAGAATCTCCATAGACATTTAGTAGTGTGTTTATTTCTCAAGAGGTAATCCTTTGGTCCAGCCATTCTGGGCAACTTCTGACCTATTTGAAGTTATCCTTTTGGGGGAAGGGAACAAAGATGGAGCTAGGCATCTGCAGAAGATCTTGATTGAAGCAAGTTATCTACATCCTTCTCAGTCTGGGTTCAGGCAACTAGATCCGTTGTTCTTATGGATGACCAGCAACATGGATGGAGGAAGTACAGTTCTCCTTGTCCCACTGGCTCTCTCAGCAACACAGAAAGTTTGAAATTCCGTTACAAGGTCTTGAGTCCCAGGTCAGACAACCCCTCTGCACAATTTCATACGCTGAATACTGAAACAGCTCAAGAAGGAGAGGAAACGATTCATTTACTGAGGTAGAGAATATAACCGTGAGGTACTCAGTCTCGCTTACTGATGACTTATTCTTTTCAGTTATTAATTGCCCCAGAGTTGCAGAATTCGAAAATGGTTACTTTGAGCCCCCACAGCAACATTACAATATAAACGACAACATCACATTTACTTGCTACGGAGGATACAATATGAAGGGGTCTGAAGTCCGCACCTGCCTTCCCAATGGGAAATGGAGTGGAAAAACAACCATTTGTGATGATGGAAGTGAGTATGAAAATTAATTAATTTAATCCCATGCAAGTCCTATCAGTTGTTCTCACTTCAGACTTCCTTTTCTTTTCTGTCTTCGAAAACACAACATCAGTTTTTAATCTTCTGTCGTCAACATTCAGCTATCAACAGGCACAGCTGCCATTAGCCAATACAGACTATCAGCCACCAATGCTGATGCCTCCTTTCCACACACTGGCACACCCAGGGTTGGGCTTCAAACATTTTAGCAACCGGTTTTCTGCCCCGTTGCTGGGTGGGTGTGGTCATGGTGGGCGTGGCCTAGTCAGCCTCCTGCACCACAGCGGTGGTGTTGGCGTTTGCCCTTCCCGGGCTCCGGAGACATTCCCTGAGCCTCTGGGAGGGCGAAAGTGGCCTCCACAAGCTCCAGAGGCCCTCTGAAGGCCGGAAATGGGCCCATTTCCAGACTTCCCGAACTTCTGGGAGGCCCATTTTTTGCTCTCCCTGGGCTCTGGAGGCTTTCCTCAAGCCTCCAGGAGGGTGAAAACGGCCTCCCCAGGTCGCAAGAGGCCCATTTTTCACCTTCTCTAAATCTCTAGGTGGGTCCTGAACTTACCTGGGATCCAAAATGGGCTCCGTGGAGACTCCTGGGAGGGCCGAGGCTGGGTGGGCAGGGCTAGCCAGTCATTGTAACTACTGGTTTGGTGAACTAGATGTTAAATTAGCATCCGGTTCACCTGAACCAGTACAAACCGGTATCAGCCCACCCCTGGGCACACCCAGACATCATGCAGGGTCAATTCCCTCAAAACTTGCAAGCTCTTGTTAAGGACTCCTATGTGATGCTCCTATGGAAAAACCTGGTTGTATTCAGTGTGGAAATGAGGCACCAACCTTTCATTTACATGTCCCAAAGGACATGCCTTAACATAATTATTATGAAATTACATACTGTTCCTATTGTCAGCGTAATGCCCAAATATTTTACTTTTTCCTCAAACTTAAAACCAGTGTTCTGTGTTAGTACTATTTGCTCTTCTAAATTCATATTTTTGTTGACATTTTTGTCTTTGGATTATTAATCTTATAACCTGCTAACATACCAAGTCCTTTCATTTTCCATTAATGTTTCTATTCCCTTGAATGGATCTTACAAAATTAAGACCAAATTATTGCAAATGCCTCAATTTATATGTTTCTTTTTTAAACTTAATCTCCCTAATTTTCTCACCTTGTCTTCTGTCTCTATTCATTTCCTCAAGAACTAACACGAGCAAGAGTAGAGGCAGCTGTCATCCTTGTCTTCTCTCTTTTTGAATCCCACCTTTTGTTGCTTTAATTCTTAGCTTTTTGAGAACTGAAAGATATTTCATGTATGCATAATATATTTGTTGCTAAATGCATATACTTCAAAATGACTGTTTAATTCATGGCGTCCTCTCTTCCCCTATCTAGCTGGCCATTGTACTAACCCAGGGATTCCAATTGGTAGTCGAAAAGAAGGAAACCAATATCGGATAGAATATCGGGTCCGCTATACTTGTGAGAATGGTCTTGTCCTTTTCGGATCCGAGGAACGGATTTGCCAAGAATTTGGAGGCTGGAGTGGATCAGAACCAGAGTGTCGACGTGAGCAGGGGGGAAAGAATGCCTGGTGGGATGAATATGGGGGGTTAAATACTGAAAATATGAAAATATGAATATGAAATACTGAAAATATGGGGCCGTGAGAGGAATTCTTGATTACAAAAATTATTGTATAGGAATACCCAGAGGTGGGCTGCTACTGGTTCGAGCGAACCGGCAGTTAAGATTAGGTGGAGTTTGACGAACCAACAAATCCCTTCACTGGCTGGCTCCACCCCCGCCTGTTCTTGGCCTGGTTTTTGGCCATTTTTCAGGCTGTTTTTGATCTGAAAAATGGCCCAAAACAGACTGAAAATGGCCCCAAAACAGACTGAAAACAGCCTGGAAAATGGCCTGAATATAGTCCAAAAAACAGCAAAAAAACCAAACAAAAAACAGGCTGAAAAACAGGCAGGCGGCGGGCCAGCCATTGGTGGGATTAACCCCAACCGGCTGAATCCTACCTCTGCCTTTGAGGCGAGTGTCTGGGTGGCGGGACTGGGTGGTGATGAGTGACATGTCCACCCAGTCACACGTCCACCCAGCCACGCCCACCCAGCCAGTCATTAGGGCAGAGAACCGGTTGTTAAAAAATTTGAAGCCCACCACTGGGAATGCCACACTTTCATTGTGGTTTGGTTTGGTTGTTGCATTCAGGGGTTATGTCAGAGGCAAGCTTCAGATATAAGGACCAAATCATGGTCAGGTGAAATGATATTTCGAGGGACGATAAGAAAAAAAGAAAAAAGAAACATTGACTTCCGATTCTCTCTGTTCCAGTAAAATAAGGCATTAACATCAAATCACAACTTTTGGGGTTTTTTTGTAGTGATATGAACAAATGCCTTGTTTTACTGTAACAGAGAATTGGAAGTCAATTTTTCTTTTTCTTTTTTCTTATCCTCCCTCACTTCTCTTCCCCCTCTTCCTCCTCACCGTTTTCCTATTTTGTATCCTATTTTTATTTTATAACCCAATAAAAATGATAAACCAAAGGAATGATATTCCATGGAAAACATCAAATTAAGTAAATATCAAACCAATAAAGCCAGCTTTGTGTAAAAAACAACGTTATCAACTAAATCAGAGTAAAGTATCTGAAAGAATAATAATAATAATGTATTTTTACTCAAAGCGTATAAATGTTGTATATACTAGAACAGAAATATTAATGACATATGGAATGACATAGAGTGCCCCTAAAATGGACTAAACAGGTAGCATTAGAGCAGAGGTGTCAAACTCGCGTCGTCATGTCGTCGTCACATGATGTATCATGACATTTTCCCCCTTCGCTAAACTGAGGATGGCCATGGCTGTGGCATGACGCATCCAGCCCGCAGTAGAGAGTCTGCTATGTTTATCCCAAAGAGTCTCAGAGCAGCAAAATGTGCAACTCCCCTTCTTAATACTTCAATCCTGGTTTACATAAAAATGAGTTCTATTTATTTTGGGGCATTCTCTTTTATGATCTGTTACTAACTGAGCCTCCTCTTGTTCCTTCCCAGAGCCATATACTTTTGACACCCCAGAAGAAGTTGCCAACAATTTCATTTCATCTTTGACTGAAACTGCTGAAGCCGCAGAATCCAGTAAAAATACCTGTAAGTCTTTGTAAATGGAACTGGCTTGGATAATTATAATTCCCTTCCTAGCATAACAAGAGAGACCACAATTAATATTGTTAGATGCTCTCCATTTCTCTGAGTAATGCAGATTCTAGGGCAATTTAATGGAATGTCATTTCATTATTGGAAAAAAGAACACCGAGAGGTTTTTTTTTAAACAATAACAACAACAATTCAAGAACATTAACTAGCAACTGATCGACACTGATGATGTTACTTAGTTGGGTAATGAAAAGTCTGCAAGCTAACAGTTAAGCTTAGAAAGCACCAAGGACTTTGTAGCTCAACCCTGAGTTACAAAGATTCTCTTCTACGAGAGAATTGTTAAAAGCATCACAACTAAGACATTGCATAATATTTTTCTAAATATTCAAGCAGATCATTAGTTGAGGAAAAATGGAAGCATATCTCAGGGATACTTCCAAGGCAGAAGGTATCTACCACTGTGAAGGCACTGTTCTCTCTCTGTGGGTGTCTGCTAGATTGACAGCTGCTGTTACTCTTCTTTTGAACCATCTTGAAGCTCTGGACTGAATCTCACCTCAAAACACAGAGATATTCCTAGTTATCAAGCTCCTGATCGTAATTTCCCTTAATGAAATTTGCAGCAGTATGCTGTGGTAGCTGTGCCTTGTTCTAAGTTATTTCATTTCAGTACTGCCTCTACCACCTTGGGTGTAGTTTTCCCCTTCAGTGTTAAGCCAGTATTTTCTGTGCATTAAGCATACCTGGTCATTGGGGTGCCTTTGTATATGGAAAGATATGGCCTTCCCTGTATTTTGTACAGAGTGTTGCATTTTTATATATCTTGGCATCATCACAGACCAATGATTTTGGCTCTTCAGGTGGGCCTTGCCATTTTGGCTGTAGAATCAATAATACAGATTAACAGAGTTGGAAGGGACCTTGCAGGTCATCTAGTCCAACCCCGTCCCCCACCCAAGCAGGAGACCCTACACAATTTCTGACAGATGGAAATCCAGTCTCTTCTTTGAAAGCTTCCAGGGATGAAGCTCCCACAACTTCTGAAAGCAACTCACTGTCTCTCTGTCAGAAAGTTTCTCCTTATTTCCAGGTTAAATCCCTCCTTGTTCAGTTTCCATCCATTATTCTTTGTCTGGCCTTCAGGTGCTTTAGAAAATAGCTTGACCCCCTTCCTCTCTGTGGCAGCCCCTCAAATATTGGAACACCGCTGAACTTCATTCATTAAAAATAAAACAAAAATATGGGCTTTGTATCAAATACTGCAGTTGATTGATTGATTGAATGAGTGAGTGAATGAATGAGCGATTATGTGCTATCAGTTTGCAATTCTTTCATCCCCTAGAAAGAATGTCCAATATGTCAAAACTATACATACTGTAATTGGGAAAACAAGATATGAATACTAGTTCTTTTTCACTCCAGCCTCTACACAGAAGCGAAAGATTGTCATTAAGAAAGGAGGCACAATGAACATCTACTTCCTCCTCGATGCCTCAAAAAGTATTAAAGAAGTGGATTTCAACAGTACACTGAATGTTACAATCAAGCTGATTGAGAAGGTATGGAAGAATAAGATAATTTCTTTATTTCTTTACTTATTTTATTTTTATTTATTTTTGTCAATCAATTATAAGATAACAGGTATAAGTATAAACATAGTTATGAATACATGAAATGGATACATATAAGAAAAATAAAAAAAGAAACAATAGGACAGGGAAGGTAGGCACGTTGGTGCGCTTATGCACACCCCCTACAGACCTCTTAGGAAAGGGGTGAGGTCAATAGTAGACAGTCTAAGGTTAAAGTTTTTGGGGTTTGGGGAAGAAACCACAGAGTCGGGTAGAGTATTCCAGACATTGACCACTCCGTTGCTGAAGTCGTATTTCCTGCAATCAAGTTTGGTGCGGTTTACCTTGAGTTTGTATCTATTGTGTGCTCTTGTGTTGTTATGGTTGAAGCTGAAGTATTCATTGACAGGTAGGACATTGCAATGTATAATTTTATATACCATGCTTAGATCGGACCGAGGGTGGCGTAGTTCAAGGTTTTCTAGGTCTAGAATTTCAAGCCTGGTGGCGTAAGGTATTCTGCAATGAGTAGAGGAGTGGAGAACTCCTTTGCTCAGTCCTGTACCAAGAAGGTACCGGTATTAGTTATTAACCAGGGTTTATCAAACTTCGCCTTTTTAAGACATGTGGACTTTAAGATGCAGAATTCCACAGCATGATGAAGTTATAAGGCAAACCACTTTTATGATCAAGGGAACACTGGAAATGTGGAGAGTCTAAAGGAGTTAGAACTTGAGTAAGTAAGACCTTGAGTAAGACCTAATCTCTTGAACAAGATGACCAATATACAGTGTAGCCTTGGGTCGTGACTGCAATCTGTTCCCGGACTCCGGTTGTGACTCGATTTGGTTATATCCAGCAGCACGACCGATTGCTAATGCGTGCAATAAAAAAAATGGCACGTGACCCAATTCAAAAATCGGTTGGGGGTTTTTGTTTTTTTTTGCCACCTGATTTGGTCGCGAACAGGAATGTTCACGACCTTAGGTTCCACTGTACTGTAAGACCACACTTAAAATATTACACCCAGTTTTGGCCGCCACACTATAGAAAAGATGCTGAGACTCTAGAAAAAGTGCAAAGAAGAGCAACTGAGATGATTAAGGGACTGGAGGCTAAAACATAAGAAGAACATGAAGGGAGGGAAATATCGGTGTCCCAGGATAATTTTGCAGAATCCAATCGGGGTCGGTCACCAGGATCAGAGGTTTTGTCTTCCAAGCTTTCGCACTTGATCTTAGCCAAAAGGCCGAGAAACTCTTCCAAGCTTTCGGACTCCATCTTCAGGGAACTTCTTTCTTAGCAGAGTGTATGTGTGTTGTGTGCGGGGGATTTATATGGTGCTTGTTGAAGTTGTATGTGCTGGAGCACGGGTGTCAAACTCACGGCATCATATGATGTTTCACGACGTGTTTCCTATTTGTGGAGCTGGAGTGGGCATGGCCTGTGCGTGATGCATCCAGCCTGTGGGCCACCAGTTTGACACCCCTGTGCTAGAGAGAGAACTCTAGCTGAGTTGGAACCCCAAATTACTCTTCTGACACCAGAGACCTTTGATCCTCCTTGTGCGGATGCTTAGTACTCTTTTTGATGAAAACTGCCAAAAATTGTAGTAAGGTTCACTATTTGTTTGAGCAGTGGTGGGTTTCAAAAAAAATTTTTCTACCGGTTTGGTGTGAGCATGCGCTTTGCTTATGCACAGCATTTGCAACTCACCTGCTGCTGCAAGCCCTGTGTGTAAAACAGCTGACACGCAGCAATCTGGTGTGCCAAATGAAACAGCTGAGGTTGAAAAGCTGGAAATAAAGATCAGTATAGAGCCGGGCAGGTGGGAGAGCCCAGCAGCTGATCGTCGGAGTGAACCAGTTCCCTCACAGATGCCAAACCGGGCCAAACCGGTAGAATACCACCACTGTGTTTGAGGTTCCCTTAGTCCTTCCACCTATGTTTCAAATCCCTGGTAATGCATAGTTTATCTTTTTTTTAAAAAAAACACAGTAAAATGAAAGAGATTGATCATTAACACCCCCCCCCCCAATCTTTAAGAGGTCCTCAGCAGATTGAGGGACTGGACAGAAGAAAAACATTGTTTATTGTTAACTTCTGGGTCAAAATGGCTGGTCTGCTGTGCCCTATCAATGTGTCAACTTCTGCAAAGCTCTGGAATGGGGCATTTGCAGAAATTCTAGAATAGGGCATCCCCAAACTTTTGTGGAAGTCCAATAATTTTTTAGTCTAGGACTTTGCAAAGGTTGCCATATTGGTAAGTCTATGTCAGCAAGAATAGGCCAGGGTGAGAGGCCAGGGATGTAAAACCTTCCCTCACCAGCAAATGTTTAGCAGTGGGAGATTTTGTGCACTGAAGCCATTCCCAAACTGCCCTTGGGACTGAATGTTAATGAATCTAGTTGAGAAATGCCATACATCTCAAGCTTCTTTTTGTCTCCTGGCTTCCATTTGCAGATCTCCAGCTATGATGTCTCCCCCAATTATGCCGTCATCACTTTTGCCACAAACAGCAAAGAGCTTTTCAACACATTTCATGCACAGAGCACTGATGCAGCCTGGGTGATTGAGCAATTACAAGATATCAAAGTTTCTGGTGAGGATTATTCCTGATCTTTGCCAGGGAGATAGGTCTTTGCTCACCCACAACCGGTTTCATTTTATAATCCGAACAAGAAGTCTTTTTCATACTTGGAATAAATAAATTTACACACTTACGTGGCACTCGGTAACATTTTCCATTCTCTTCCAAGCAACGTCTACATCCTTAAGTCTTTTACTATATTCCTTGTATAGTAGCCAAAATATTGTTGCCCGTATTCTATCAACTAGGAAGTATTAATATACATTCAAAGGGCTTAAGGAATTCTTGATACTGAGAAACATTCAATACTGAAGAAAGACAGCTGTTGATGTTTTTCTGAAGGGAGATCTGAAGATCAGTTAGGTTATATTTGTGGCTGCAGGTGTAGCCTGAATAGCAAATGAGATTTGCTAAGGCTAGCCAACTGCAAATAATGGTGTTCATTTTTCTCCTTTTATCTTTTTTTTCCCCTCCAGAGCATAAGATAAAGCCAGGAACCAACATAAAGAAAGCCTTGACAACTGTCTATGAAATGATGATTTCCCAGGAAGCTGATGAGAGGAGACGTGGATTAAATCCTCCTCCTGTTTCCAATTCCACACGCCATGTAATCCTCCTCCTGAGTGATGGTGAGGAAAAAGAACACATACAAAAAACCTTTTTTCTCTAGCTACTTTTTAATATTTAATAGGGTAGCCACTCCAATATTTGTTGGAAAGAACTTTCATGCTATTTATTTAACCAATATATTCCTTACTCTGCAATTTAAATGTAATTTAGACAGGGCTCAATTTTGTTTTTTTCTTAATATGTATATTCAGGAAAAGTTTGCTTTATATTTTTATCCTTTTTATGCATCATCTTCCAGAATCCAGAACCCACAGGTTCAAACCTTTTGTTTTGAGGGTAACCCTCCACTTTCTAAATCATATTTTTTATTCAAAAAAAATGACAGAGTTTTGAAAAATTGTATAAAAACAAAACGAAAAATAGAGAATTTAAAAATCTGCATTAAAAAGAACAAAAAACTCAAACCCACCAGTAGTGAGATCCTACCTTAGTCGCTACTGGTGTGGTGGGTGATTGTATGTGTGCGCGCGCGCCCCTAATGCACGGACCCCTAACAAGCCAATCAGCTGAGAGAATGAAGAAACGAAAAGCTAGGAGCGACCCTCCCACCCTCCCATGCTTTTATCCTCTCAGCTTTTTTTTTAACTACCAGTTCGGCCAAACCAGTCCAAACCAGTAGCATACTACCACTGAAGCACCCACATATATGTCATCCAACTTAGTTGAATATTGACAAATATATTGTAACAATATTAGTTTCCCCCTCTCTTGCAAACCGAGCCACAATTTTTTAAACTTCTATTTTCAACTTATTTGACCTGTCAGCTATCTACTATATTAAGAACAGTTAACAGGCAAAGCAACAGAAAAATTAAACTTTCAAAATCTGCTAACAAGCTGTTATTGTATTTAACTTGCAGAAGGTCTTCCGTGACTTCTTTCATCTGTTCCAAATCACAACAGTTATCTCTGATCCCTCCTGGATCAATATCAAATATCCTGATTTGCTCCCTAATAACATCTCTTTGCAATTGTTGTCTGGTTAAATATAGTAAGTCTATTCTCCAAAATCGATCTATCTTCCCCCAAAAGCCCAGTCAAAATTGTTTTCCAATTGGATATAATAAGCCCATTCCCCAATCTCCATCAATCTTCTTAAAAAGAAATCCAATTTATCACTCATCAAATCTGTCAGTTTGTAAGTCTGTAAAGTCCATGTTTCTTTTAGCTTTCTCCATTTGAACTTGTAGTTAAAAGCTTTAGAACAAAGAAAATACATACACACACAAATTAATGTTAAAATCCATCAAGGGGTTAGAATAAATTAGCATTTGACCAGTCACTTAACTTTTGAAAATAAAAAGCACATTAAAAGAGAAACTTCAAAGAGTGTAGTTAAAATCCAGGCATGCTTAAAAAAGCCAATCAGCTGAAAGGAAAAGATGGAGACCAGTCTCTCCAGCTGCTTCTACCAGGAATTGCAATCCTTAAGATTCCTCTTTCCATGTTTTCCAAGGATTGTCTTGGATCATTGATTGTGTCAACTCATAAAACATTTCTATGCCTGTTTTAGAGTTGCCGCGAAAGGAGGAGGGGATTTGAAGGAGCAGTGTGACAGTTTAAAACCAAAAGTGCATTCCATACTTATCTTGCAAAGATTGTAACTAAGCTACCGGAATTTCTTCCACAAAAATCCCTAATTGGAGAATCTCAGCTATGAATGTGTTTCGTTGGAGAATACAAATTATGATACACCCAGGGGGGGTGGGGTGGGGGGAAATAGGGTCATAGGTGATAGTGAATTACATGTCTCCGAATCGGCTTCATACAGGTCATGCCTACATGTTTGCGGCTAATAAATCCTTTGAAGTTTTTGAAGCTTGGCTCGAGGCTCATGATTTAATTAGGGCAACTGCCGGAATCCTGACACCTAGATGTTCCCATTCAACTCTAGGAGTTGCACCATCAAAAAGCCAGCTTTGGCAGAAAAAAATCAGCTGATTGTCAGTAGGAGAAAAAAGATTGCCCTGGTGTTCAGCACACAGTCTTGGGGGAAATCAACCCCTTTTTGGATCAAGATCACTTCTTAATCTTTAAATGGCATATTAAACAACTAATGGGGCTGGGAGAAATCTACTTTTATTTTGGTGATTTGACTTCATTTGAGTTGAATGAAGTGAATGATTTCTATGATTCCACAGAAACTTTGGAAGAGCTGTAGGAGCACCGTCAATTTTGAGAGGCAACTTGATCACTTCTACCATATAGTAACTGCTACTCTCAACCTTTAGGTCGTTACAACATGGGCGGGGAACCAGGTCCTGTCATAAACAATATTAAGGAATTCCTTAGGATTAAGAAATCTGGCTCCGATTCTCGCAACGAATTCTTAGGTAAGTTCTGATGATCTACAGGTCAGGAAAGAAACGGGGAGAAAAGTACTTTCAAACCAGAATTTCACAATGTTTGGCCTCACTTGACTGTGAGATAAGACTTTTTGCCAATATTATAGGCCAACGTCAGAAATTACAGATCCAGTGTGTCAGGTGGTGCTCCATTCAAAATTCAAGAAAGCAAACTTAGACTCTTTAGATTAGAGCAAAGATAACTTTTACTGAATTTGAAGTGGTAACATGAGTAGAATTCTGAATCTGAGAAATTAGGCGCGCAAATCACACATACAAAGTTGTTGGAAACGTTCCCACCCCTCATAGTTCAAATGATTCTTCCAATTAAAAGTTGTGAATATGATCATGTGGGCATCTTCAGGTGGTGATGAGGCCTCTGCCCGTTGACCTTGACATATTTTGATAAAGACTTACAGTTGCGCAGAGAAAAGAAAGCTAAGCGAAGAATAGAAACTTAAGAGCAGGAATTTATACTCCCCCCAACTCCTCATTTACACAAGACAAGAATGTAACACCTCCAGCTCTCTTCCCAGACAATATCCCCCCCCCTTACTTATGGCAGCCAAAAGATGCAAAGCAGTAGAAAAGCAGTAGTAGAAGATCTTGAAGGCTGACACAGTGTTTTAAATTCTATGCGTGTCTGATTGACTTCTTGGCATCTTAACCCAAGGGACAATAGAGAGTAAGTGACATCACAAAAGCATTTTTTGCATTCCTGGTTGAATATAACTCCCAGTGAAACTAGCAAACATGCTGAAGAGAGTACATTTGCCCTGAGGGAGTCAATTTATGTACTGTATCTGCCAGGGGAATGGAATTATTGAAAGAAGAAGGAACAAATAATTGGGTTACAGTCCTAGAACTTGCAGGCATCATGCAAGTGGGCCACATTTATTTGCTTATTTATTTTTTGGTCATGTCATATACCACTATACCACTATGTTCAACTCCTAGAAGCTTATCAGAATTAAAACTTGAGATGCCACACTCAGTAGAACTATTTTAAAATAGCAAAGTAAAGTCTGAAATTATTGCATAAACATAAAATTGCTGCCAATTTTGCAATCACCATGGCATTGGTCTTCTTCAAACATGCACGCACACACACACACACACACACAGAGAGAGCACAGTAGTGGTTAGTAGTAGACATAAAAAAGCATTCTCAGCTAGAATAAGCACACAGTATGAACTAATTCTACATGGAGGTTGCAAACCTGAAGATACTTAACAGCTGAGCCACGTAAGAGATGTCAATATCATATATGAAATCAAAGACTCAATCATCCAGACCAAAGATATCTGAAATCATGGTATAATAACGGTATCAGTCAATGCAACAGTTTAGAAAGAAGAAACTATAGGTTTTAAACCAGCGGTGGGATTCAGCCGGTTCTCCCCAGTTCGTCGTTAACTTTTTCTGCAGTTTGGCAAACGGGCTAATCCCACCATTGGCTCGCCCCCGTCCCACCCCGCCCTTTGCTCCTCTCCTCCCCTCTCCCCTCTCCCCTCCCAGAGACTCATCTCCTGGCTGGCTTTTTGCCTAGGTTTGTCTGTCCGTCGGGAGTGGGGAGGAATGGACAGGGGCCTGTAAAGGAGGCCTCTTGCTTGCCGCAAGGCTGCACCCACCCACATCACGGCCCTCCACCAGCCTGCGCCTTCAGCTGAGCACAGCGGGCCTGGAGCAGGTCTCCCTCGCCCACCATCGGCCTTACCTTTCTGGGGCACCCGCGGTGAGCAGAGCGGTGAGCAGATGGTCCAGGGACTTGCAAGGCGGTGTCGCGCACGTCACCCCTCCGCCAGCCCGCTTGCCCACCCACTGGCCTGCACCCATCGGCTGAGCGCAACGCCTTCCCTCCCCCCCCGCCCCCTGTGGCTGGTTAGCGGAGAGGAAGGCAAGCCAGAGCTGAGCCACTGCCTCTTGGCCCCCTCCCCACAACCTCCATCTCTCTCTCTCTCCCCCTGCCCGGATTCTCTGCAACTGCTGGGCCTCAACCTGCCATGGCTGCCAGCAGGCAGTGGGGCAGCAAAGGACCACGAGTCTGTGCCTCCCGCGTCGTCCCTCTGCCAGTTAGCCCTTGCCTGCCCACCAGCCCGGTCAGGGTGGAGTGTGAGACCGCCTGGCCTCCCGGAGCCACCAGCTCACCTGGGGAGGAGGCTCCGGCTTCCGGATTCATAATAAAGAACCACAAAGGGGTTGGATGTAAACACTAGACCAGGGGTGTCCAACCTTGGCAACTTTAAGACTTGTGGACTTCAACTCCCACAATTCCTCAGCC